TTTCCTGCATGATAACAGGGAGCTATTACTTCAGAGCATATTTTCCTTCTTATTATATAGGAGAAGGTTAGATCAAGGAGAGATTAATTTTTTTTTTTGGTTGATTTGTGAGACTTAGTATATGGTACTTAATACTTGTAAATTTGAGTTAAGCACCCCTAGTGCTTAATTAATGACACTCTTGTACTTATCAAAAAAGAAAAAAACTTTCATATGATTTCTTATATTTAAATATTTTTTGTTTTGATCTTTATACACAATACCTTTTTCTTATTATAATTCTTATATATAGCACATTTTTATCTTAGTCTTCCTAAAACAAAATTAAACTACATAAATCAAAATAAAAAGAATGTTTTGTACATAGAGACTAAAATGAAAAACAAAATTAAGAGAAGCTAAAATGAAACTCACTGTAAAAACAAGTTGAAAGATGTTATTATGATTTATGACAGAATAAAAAAGTAATTTATAAACGTTAAATATAATTATAGATTAATGTGGCTGTGAAAATTGTTATAAGAACTTGGTGTTTGCAAGGTTGGTAAAAAGTATTTTGGTGATATACAAGGTACATATGAAAGATTATTTAAAATATTGTTCGAGGATAAAATTTACATGTAATACCTTAAATATTTTTAGTATTTTTTATTAAAATAGATATTTATCTATAAGATTAATATCATGTTTAATATTAACTTTTATTATGTAAGTTACTAAGATAATATTTTTTTTAAAATTTTACTTAGAGGCCAACATTTAAAATGACTTGGTTTAAATTTTATTAATAAAACAAGTAACTTAGCATAATTATATTTAGAAGTATGAGCAATTTCAATTATAAATTTTAGTCTATAAAATAATCTCACTATTTTTTCAAATAAAAAATTAATTTTAGCATTTAAAAATTAGTTCACATTTTTTTTTGTAATATTTCATAATAAATAAAGGTAAAATACTTTTTTTTTGCCTAGATCTCAAACATTATCTTCTTATAATAATCTTCGTAACCACGTTAAGCTACAATAATATTGTGTAAAATCATTATATCATTTTTTATAATCTATTACAAACCACCTTAATATTTTCCAACTTGTATTTATGGTGAATTGTTTTCTACCTCTATGTACAAAATTTTCTTTTGTCCTTTTATAAAATGAATTTTCTTGTATTTTTATCTTTGTAATTGAATTTTTTTATAGAGAGACTAAATGAAAATTACATTACGTATAATCTCTACAATAAAAAAATATATTATGCATAGGGATCAAAATAAAAAAATATAGATATAACATAATGGTATTGTAAGAGAAGTTAACGTCAAAAATCATTTTAAAAATATTTTTCATTTAAATATTGGCAAAATTACACTTTTTGTCATTTAACTTTAGGGTGAAATTTACTTTTGTCCTCTAACTTTTTTTTGATTCATTTTTGTCCTCAAAATATTTTTTTTTTTCTCACGTTATCCATATCCGTTAACTCTGTTACATAACCTGACAGAAATGTCTTACGTGGCGCTGGAGTATCTTAACGTCATGTGTTTAATCATATGTGAACTTTTTTATTTAAAAAATGCAACTCTCTCTCCTCCTTCATCTTCTCGCGGCTCTACAACCTCTTTCTTCCCAAATCTCTAACCCACCAACCTTACCTCCCTCTCTTACAGCTCATTTTTCCCTTCTCACAACTTTCTCACTCCTTTCTTACCGTTCTGATACATTTTCTACCCAACCCACCAACCTTATTTCTCCCTTCCACAACTCCTATTTTCTCTTGTAGATATTTCTCTCCTTTCTCGCAGCTTCGTCATCCCTTCTCTCTAACCCACCAACCTTGTTTCCCCCTCTCGGAGCCTCCATTTTTTCTTCCCGCAAGTGAAGCATTATCAGTAACACAAATAAACAATAAAATAACAAAAGATTCATATTTCACAAAAAATTAAAGAATTATACATAAAAAGTAATGAAATTTGGAGTTTGATGTAAATATGAAATAACCCAATAAGCAATAGAGTAAAAAGTTGCAACTTTAAACTCAAAGAGAAAGCATAATAGATGTATTTTTTAAATCAAATTTATAAATAATAATTAGGCATAGGTTGGTACTTTACTAATTTATTCTGTAAATTAAGTGATTCAATAGATGTTTGGAATAAAATTTTAGAGATAATTTTTTATTTAGTTGGGAGAAAGGAGGGAGACAAGACTGTAAGTGTAAGATAAGTATGTTTTCTTGTCATAAATAATGTTGGCAGTAAGGAAGGAGAGGGGAAGGGGGCTGCAAGAAGGAAGAGATAAGGTTGGTGGGTTGTGGAAAGGGGTGGAGGAAACTACGAAGGAGGAAGGGGAGGGGAGAAGGACTGTGGGAAGGAGGAGACAATGTTGATGGGTTGGAAAAAAAGGTGGGAGAGCTACAAAAGAGGAAAGGGAGGGGACTGCGGGAAGGAGGAGGCAAGGCTTTGACAAAGATAGAGCTTCTGGGTTGAGGAGAAAGGAGTGATGGAGAGAAGAAAGGAGAAGGGAAATGGACTGCAGGGAGGGAGAGTGGAAGTTACAGGGAAGAGAAAGAGAGATTGTGGAAGGAGAAGGAGACTACCGGAAAGAGAAAGGGGCTGTTGGAGGAGGAAAGAAAGGAGAAGTTACAACTTATCTCCACTTCACTATTTTTAATTATTTTTTAAATTAAAATATCTAGATTGAATTAAATAAACATGTTAATGCTATCTTAGCGCCACATAGGATGTTTCTGTCAGACTATGTAACAGAGCTACTGGAGAGGACTAACATGGAAAAAAAAAATAATACTTCAAAGACAAAAATGAATAAAAAAAAAAGTTAGATGACGAAAGTAAATTTTATCCTAAAGTTAAGAGACAAAAAGTGTAATTTTGTCTTAAATATTTATTTATAAATTTTTTTTACAGGAACTAAATTTAAAAAAATTATATAAAAACTAAAATAATATTTAAATCTTAATTTAATTTTTAAAAGAAGAAAATATTAAAATAAACCACTAAATGTGGTATGTCATTCCTTAAAATTCTGCTATTAGAGATTGGAAAAAATAACTCACTAAAATGGTAATGTAACGTGTTAAGTATAATGTAATAATATACTAATGTATCTCCAATTATACCTATTAAGAATGTTATAATATAAGATAATTAAAAAAATATTTCATTTTAATTTTTTGTAAAGGCATTAGTGTCTTGCATTTAAAATATCACTTTACAAATTTTACAAGAGTTAAATAATAAAATTTAATAAAAAATTAAAATAAATAATAAACTACATATTTAAAAATTAATTTTAATATTTTTAAAGACTAAATTAAAAAAATTCTATCTTTTAGACATCAATTTGAAATTTTTTAGTTACATTATCTTCTTTAGTTACATGTTTTTCTTTTTTAAATTAAGCTATGCTAGCTAGTTTAAAGACTATCTAATTCTTTAGTACACAAATAATATCTACTAATGAAGTGGGTATAGCATTTTTATTTTAGTCCTTAAAAAATTTTTACTATACAAATTAGATTTCTGAGATAAAATTATTTAGTAGGTGAAAATTTAGTAGGATAAATTATTTTTTACTTGATCGTTAAGAATTTTTTTTATATACAAATTATATGTTTAGTCATGTACAATTTAAATCTTAAAAATATGACACCCTATATTTTTAAAAGTGAATAAAGTATTTTAATTACTTAGTCATTTCATTTTTCTATTTTTTAAATAAAAATACCTTAAAAATTATTGCTATTGTAGAGAGAAGAGAGATTAGAGAGTATTTTTTAACATTATTAACGTTACACACTTTCAAAAATTAAAGTTTAAACTGCATATGACTCCAAACATACAAATAACGCAGAGTGAACTTTTTCCTTTTTGCAAATTTACAACTTTCTAGGAAAGTTTTCACTTTTTCACCCTGTTTGGATTGTGTGAATTACTAGAACAGGAGTGGATTTTGTCACAGCTGATTTAGATGAGAAATAAAAGCTTCAGTTGTTTGGGTGGTTTAAAATCATCTGTTTTATATTTTGGTAGCGATTTTTCTTTATTTTAAAATCATTTTTGTAAAGAACGAAGTTTTCTTAGTGAAAGAGAAAATATGTGGGTCTCAACATAGCTTTTTTTTTTATTGCAATAAAAAATTGGAAACAAAACGATACCTTTATTACTACTGCAACTATATCACTTAATAATTTTCTTGACATTAGTGTACATCAATAAACTTGGTCAATTTATGTCAATGTTACTAATTTCAAGGACGAAATTAATCAACAATCATCATGTTAATTAGTTACTAGTATTTTTAACTGGAGTAATAGTATCAATTTTGAGGACTTCAATTAATATAATCACACATCTCGACAGACAGATATTGTTGATATACCCTGTTTAATCGTTTATCATGTTTTATCTCCTCTTTCTATGAAATTTTTTTCTCCTCTTAAAGACATTTTTCATACAAATTAAAATAATTTTTTAAAAAAAGATTAAATAATGTAAAATTACACCGAATAATGAAGGATAAAAATGAAGGCAAGATCTTTACAAGTGCCCAAGTCACTGTTATGGCACTCATAACTAATTGTTTCATTTGTATTGAAATTGAAGCCTCTTATGAATTGCATATTCTTTATTCAGTTTATTAAAACACTCAAATTCCCTAAATTTGATAATAGGAAGCATAACTCAGTTGTCCTTTGCTGGTTCTTTATTCAGACATACATGCATTTCCAAATGGGCTGAAGAATCATCATGGCATCCCCATTTTTGGAAGCTAAATGGTAAGCATATGAATTTAAATTTGTGTTTGAGACACAAGCAGTGAAATCATAAAAGAATGACTTCATATATTGTAAAAGTTAATTTCATACAATTTGTTTAAAAGAAAAACATAAGAAAACCAAAAAAAGTAACAATATGAACACCATCAAAAGTATATAAGAATGAAAACAATCCATTTCACAAATAATCAAACAATCCATTGTTACCTTGGTTTTCCCTGCATTACTTGTGAAGGATTACCACTGGTATATAAAGATTTAAGTTGCCTGCTTATGAGTTTGCTATTAGGGATAGCTTGTTGAAGTTGTGCATCACTAGACCACCATTGTTCCAAGCCATGAGCTTCATGAAACTTCTGCTTTTCCTTTGTGACAACAAACAGCTTCGCCGTAACTTGCCCATTTGTTGGACCAATATTCTCCTTGTCAGCATCATCTTTCACTCCTGAGCATTCAGGATCAGTATAAGAGCAACATATATAGTCACTGTTGTTCACATACAAATGAGGAACCCATTTTCCCACCCCAAAACCAGCATTCTTGAAGCTAGATAACCGCGGTATCCAACTCTTCAATCCTACATTCTTGTCTCCATCATTGCTGATTTGAGCTTCTTCACTACTTGAAGGAAGCATGGATTTAAGTCTCTTCCAAGCTAACTCAGCCTTTTCTCCAATATTTCTCAGACTCATGGCTAATGAAACAGAAGGTGGATTGAACAAATGTGTTTCCACATAAATGCCATCTTTGGCTAAGGCCTTTCCCACTTGAAGAGCAAAACCAGCTCCTAATGAATGGCCAGCAATACAAACATTACAGCTTCCATATGTATCAGAAACCGATTTTAGTACCTCCAAAGCCACTTTAAACCTCACAGAGCCCTTCAAGCTTTCCCAGGCAAGAAAACGAAGGTCGTCTTCAATGTCTCTTCGCATTGTAAGGCTCTTGAGTAATGTTCCCCTTAGTGCTAAAACAGCTCTTGGAGCACCACTTGGTCTAATTAATACAAAGTCAGCCATTGCTGCTGATCTATCCCATTCAAATATTGCACCAAAAATGGATCCATCTCTTTCATCGATCAATGTTTGTGTGAGTTTATACTTGAATGGAATCCACCATTTTGGAGCTAAAGCATTTTCTGGTGTTCGGTTCTCCTGTCTATCAAGTTCAAGCAGATAAACCGCCTGTATAAAGCATGCAATGACAGTTCTTTTGTAATTTGCATCCTTCCTGAATACAACAGAATAGATATCAGTACATACTTTACGTTGAAAGAATGCATTAAGAGCCAGTAAAGCTTTGATGCTTTTCCATTAGATCCAAAATGGTATATCAAGAATATGGCACTCTTGCAGGAGTTAATGAAAACATGATACTCTCAGATTGCATGCATAGACCATGGAGTGAAATGAAGGTGAAAGCATGAAGGAAATTAGAAAATGTTCATGATTTTCAAATGTTTTAATGTTTAGGTTCAACTTGATATGCAGATTAGATCAATTATACAATTTGCTTTCTCTCAGGCAAAGCAATGGAATAAGACATTTTAGCTTGCATTTTGTATGATAATTCACTTGAGTGGCTTATAAACAAATAGAGATCTGAAAACAATGTTTCACACAAAGTCCACATCAAATGGGTTTTCAACTCCTCACTGATAGTTTCTTAAAAGTTGCAATTGACTAGATCTCGGAATGGATTTATAAATAAACATCTACGACGACAGAAATTATTATGCGACATGAATCTGTTTCAAAACTTTAAAATGGCTGTAACAGACATGACAATGGTATAAAAGTATTACATGTAATGTGAACCAACCCATGGCCAAGAAAAATCAGATATTTGCCATCTAGTTAATTTCAAAAAGGATAAAAAAAAAAATGATGTCCGAAGGAGTTCAACTTATTTTTTTTTCATTGCAAATTACAGAGGTTCTGAATTTTGATTATTCAGAACTTCCTCAGCCACCATTAATCAATAGTCAGAAAAGCTATAAGCCATTACGAGTACCTCAAACACAACTCTGAATTGAAAGTAACACAATTCAAGAAGGGGAGGGGAGGAGAAGAAAAAAAAAATTTAGACATGTGGGAAAATTACATCAATTATAATAGAAGACCCATGTTATGAATTAAAATTAAAGTTTAAAAAACTAAAATAAGAGAGCAAATATCTGCTATAGTAGTCCAATCAGTAAAAAAAAGGATTTTAATTAAGAAATCCATATTGCAAAAATTGAAATCTCTCTCTCTCTCTCTCTATTTGGTATCATAGCTTGGATTATCTTTACCGTGCAACACAAGTATAACAAACAGTATCATACCCAATTCATAATTCTAACTCCACCGGTCAAATCTTTGTCAATGACAAATCCTAATAGAAAACAAGCGTACCGATGTTACTGTTAATAATAGTTGAGGAAATGATATAATTAGGGTTCCCAAAATTCTATTCCAAATACTCAATAATTAAAGAAACCAAGAAATTGGGTATCAAAATGGAACAAAGAATAAAAAAATCACAACTCCTAGAATTTTCAAAATTAAACCTCTGAAAGTAAAAAAGTTGGTCCCTGATTGATAGCACACGGCAAAGACACATAAGGCAAATAAATGACTAACATATAAGGAAACTAAAACAAGATACTCTTCAAACCATTGTAATTTTGGAAAGCCAGTGGGAAACACATTTTACTGTTCACAATTTATTTCTAATGTACCCACCAAAATAATTTTTTTTGAAAGGAAAAGGATCAATCCAACTTTTTGGAGAATATTATTTAAGATCTCCATTATCCAAGAAACCCATCTCTAATTTATTATGATACTCAAAACCCACTTGATAAATCTCGCTAAGTTTTCCATTTGATGATAATTCTTTCATTCAGAAACAGTTAAATTCAAATACCCTGTAAAGCCATTGATAAAAAAAAATTGCCACTTTTTCCATTTTAAGATACTTCCATCCACGAAAACCCATTTGTTGAAGTTTGCAACTTCATACTCAAATCTCAAAACCCATTACACCAACAACTTCAAAACACAAGAAACCAAGCATGCTACCAACACTTCCAAAACCCAAGTTACAAACTTTTCACTCCAAGGTTCAAGCATTACCAAATGAGGCCAAGAAACAACCACCCCACAAGCCAAAAGCTAAATTTAACTCAAATTCAATTGAATCAAAGCAAAGGATGAAATGGGTACCCACCAGCTAGAACTAATAAGGTCTCTCCAGTTAAGGTTGGTCAAATTGCGAGGACCAGAGACATGAAAGGCATAAGGGTGTGATAATGGTTCTTCTTGAATCACTTCCTTTGTTCCCTCTTCTTCTTCTTTGATCACTTCGCTTCCGGTTTGCATGCTCATGCTGATGTTGATGATGCACAGAGAGAGAGAGAGAGAGAGAGAGAGAGAGAGTGCAACTGTGAAGTGAAGAAGTGTCTTTTCCTTTGTGAGAACTAGTTGTTTAGGATCTTCTTTGGATTGTTAGGATGTTTTCTTAAAACTAAAATAATAACAAAATTCGGAACAATTCAGATTTTGGATCCCACTATGTAACGGTCATATTTCCATAAAAGCGTCCGTTTTGTTTTTAATTTAATTTTACAGTTTTTTTTATCAGGCATTCAGTAACACATAAATATTAATAAATATTTTTTATAACAATATTTTAACTAAACTGTACATATTTAAAATAATTTTTAAAAATAATTAATGTATTAGGTTATTAAAAAATAATAAGAGAGGTTAGCATGAATCTTTAAAGTTGAGTTTAATATTGAATTTACATAATTAATAATAGTAAAATTTTACTAAATATTTTTATAACTTTAATATAATAAATGTGATATTTTTTAATATTTGTTATTTTTATATGTTTAAAATTAATTCTAAAAATTGAAATCAACAAAACTTAAAATTAATTAATATATTATTTCAAATTCACTTTTAATTAAAGTCAAACTGTATTATTGTATTGATTGTTAATAAATTAGAAAGATGAGGATAAATATTTGAAAAAATAATAAATATTCCTAAATTTTATAAATAGTCTTATATATTAAGGATCAATAAAAAAAAATTAAATTTTACTATAAAAAGACAAAAAAGGTAATATTTTTTTTTTTTGTAAAATTTAACATTATCAATGTATTTATATTGTGATATTTTTTATTTTTAATAAAATTTATCATATTTAAATTTTTATTACATACCAGTAGATATATATTAAAAAATCAAAATTTGGTGTTATATATATATATAATTTTTTTGCAAACGCAGTAATGAACGGAAAATGGAAATGGAATTTTGGATCACGCTCCCCCTCCTCTTGGATCCGGCTCCTTTTTGTATGGCCAGACTGGTTTAGACCAATTACATTATATTATGTGATAAAATTTATAATTTACATAAAAAAAAAATTGATACATGACATGATGTGAGTATAAGTCCAATTCATTTAAATAATTCTACATCATATTAATTTAAAAAGTAATTAACAAGTTAAAATAAAATAAAAAATTGACAAAAGCAGTTTTCATTTTTCTCTTTAAATTCACTGTATCCAAATTCAACGTCCTGGTGCTCAACATTGTTTTTGAGTTTTCAGTTGCAAGGATATGACCTCTTCTTTTCAGATTTAAGAGATGCAGTGCCATTCAAGAATGGCACAATGCAAATTTGTCACAATACTTGGGAGGAAGATGATATCTTAGCTCGAAAGTAGTGTTGGGATAGACAATTATCCAATTCAGATTTAGAGGTATGTGTTTGTGAGTAGAACAAAAAAGGATAAAACTTGAAACATTACTTCATTGATATGTAACGACATTAACATTATCCTTTCACAAATTAATTGAATCCCTTACCTTTGAATGATTCCTCTACAAGTGACAACTCATATTATAACTTGTTCATTTATCTTAATGGCTGGAATGTGAGCAACCTTAGACCAGTGCTTCCCTTTCAGAGGTTGATACCTTGCTTCTAGTAATGGGCACTTCTCCATATTCAGTACTGCAAGAGAGGATGGCAGCTGCTTTTCTGGCAAGGAAACAAGGTTTGGACAGTGATCAATGTGGAGCTGGTGGAGAGAAGTGAGATGTTGAAGCCCATTTCCTTCTAAGAACCTTAAAGAACCAAAATGGTATAGGCCTAAAAACACAAGAGAAGTGGGCAGTAACCTCTCCTTGAGCAGTATGTTCACAAGATCTAGATTTCCAAAACCTTGAGCATAAAGATGTGATAGAGAAGTGAGACGTTGGAACTCGAATCCTATCTCATGTTTAGACATACATGATAGCAGTCCAAGATCAATGCAAAGTGACTTTAAAGTGCAAGGCAAAAACAATGATGCTAGCTCTGGAAGCCCAGAAAGGCCCAAGTGTTCAAGGGAAGGAAGAGCAATCTGTTGTGGCAGTGCCTTAAGTTTCACACAGTCAGTGATATTTAAGTCAACTAATTTGGGAGCAACTCCTCCACCTTGAGTAGCGATTTCTTCCAACATGGGACAAAAACATATATAAAGTTCTTGAAGGGAAGGGAAACAGTCTAATGGAAAGAAGGTCATGGAATGACAACTATTCCAGATTCCTAGTTTTTCAAGTGAAGTGTATTTGTGCCATGTCTCATGAGATAGAAACTCTAACTTCCCACATTCCCAAATTTCAAGGGATCGCAATGACGTAGGCAAACCATCATTTGGGAAGGAAATCAAAGATGAGATGTTTTTAAGAGTCAACTCTTGAAGACAATTAGCACCAAGTATTATTCCAGGCAAAGTTTGCAAGTTGTCACACTTTTCAATAGTTAGTTCACAAAAAGAAAAGTTCTCAAGCAAAGACAAAAAGCTCTCCTTCCCTTCTCTAATGTGTATTACTTCTACCGATGAATTCCAGTGTAGATTACATGACTGTGCCTCTAGTTGGTTGCACTCTAAGATATGTACCTCTGTCAATGAAGGTAAATGGCCGGGCAAGTTTCCTTTTAATTTAGGACACTTGCATAAATAAAAACTCTTAAGGCAAGGGAAAGGAAAGTTGATACCTCCACCTTCAAATGGTAGCCATTCTTCCCAATTTGACATATCTTCAAATTCAAGATGCTCCAGTGATGGAAATGGTTGAAATAAAGGGGAGCCTTCATTGTTGCGGCAGTAGAACTCTTGACCAACTTTCTTCACCATTTTCATCCTACGAATGACAAGCTCCTTGAGGCAAGGTAGTTGGCCAAATGATGGGAGTGACAAGCAATAATTGCAATCACTAACAACAAGCTCTACGATGTTTGAAAATGAAGATTCTCCTATCCAATTTGGAAAGCTAGAACCACCAAAATATCTTATGTTGAGTTTCTTTAAATTTGTTGATGGTTTCAGGTTCTCAAGTACAGCTCTTTCAATTTGTGAATCTTGTGGTTCTTGTGGGTTGCTACTCCATTCCAGTATAAGCTCCTCAATCTGCTCTTTGCTCTTCAAGTTGGCTAGAAATGCATCCATGGGATCAACAACATTTTGCAGCTTTAAAATACAAAGTCTGCCCTGCAAGTACGGAAAGTTCCTTAACTCTAGAATCCTTAATCCATCTTCGTGTCTACCCACAACAAAAGTAGTCAAACTACGGAGATTTTGTAGTCTGGAGATTTGTGCTGGCATCACCTCCAAATTAGTGTCACTAACATCAAGGTGGCGCAAATTGACCAGATTTCCTATTTGTCGTGGCAATTGAACAAGAAATTTACAATGTGACAATAACAAGGTCTGCAAATTGTAGAGAGTAAAAGTTTCTGCAGGCAGCCTTCTGATGGAAGTGTAGCAAAGGTTGAGATACCGCAAGTGCACCAAATTGCCAATTGAACCAGGAAGCTTAGTGATATTTTTGTATTTAGACAATGATAATATTCTCAAGCATCTTAGTTTTGGCAACAAATCATGTAACACCTTTGTGGTTAAGTAACAATCCAATTGATGCAGAGATCGTGGCAGAAAAGTCCGCAAAGATTTTATGTCATAGAAGCTTTCAAATTTTTTGAAGACATCATACTTGTCTCTTTGAAATGATAAGTATCGGACCATTTTTTGGATTTCATTGCCTTCAAAGCAGCAGGAACTTTTTCCAGATACAAGTCTAGCTAAATCATATACCAGCTCATGCATGTGAAAATTTTCCTTGATAACTTCATCTTTTTGAATTAAGGATCTGGACAATAATTCATTAAAGCAATCATCACCTGCTAATTCCATTGCTTTCTCTCCAGGGGATTGTTGTAGAAAGCCTTCAGCCATCCATAGCAAAATTAATTCCTTCCTATCCAACAAATGCTGTTTTGGAAAAATTGAGCAATAAGCAAAACATCTTTTCAAATGTGCTGGAAGATGAAGATAACTTATGAGCAACGCTGGTAAAACATCATCATACGCCCATAATTTACTCTCCAAAATTCTATTCCATTCCTTTGCATCAACATTTGATCGCAAAAGGCCTCCCAATGTTTTAGCAGCTAATGGTAGGCCACCACATTTTCTTGCAATTTTCCTTCCAATTTCCTCTAGGATTGGATATTTTCCATAACCTTCATTTCCAAATGCATGTTTGGCAAGTATGCACCAACAATCTTCATCTTTTAGAAGTTTCAACTCACAAATGGGAAAGTTAGGTGTATGAGTGAACTCCGCAACTCTTGGCTGTCGGGTTGTCACAATGATCTTACTTCCCTTTTTCCCACTGCTAAAAGGACTTACTAGATGATGCCAGTCATTATACTTTTCATTCCAAAGGTCATCAAGAACAAGCAAAATTTTTTTATCTTCTATGCTATTCTTTAATTCAACACGAAGAACATCTATATTAGTACTATTGCAGACTTTTGAGGCAAACGATTCAACAAGGTTCTTTGTTATCCTGAAAACATCAAAGTCCTCAGATACACACGCCCAAGCTTTTAAATCAAATTGTTTCTGCACTTCACTGTCATTATAGAGGAGTTGAGCAAGGGTTGTTTTGCCAAGGCCTCCCATACCTAATATTGTAATCACACCTATATTATTAGGCATTGCATCATCATAGTCATCACCATCATTAGATAAAAGCATGTTCAATAGCCTCTCTTTATCATCCTCTCTAGCAACCACCATAGATTCAACTAATGAGTCTGTAATTGTTCCAAAAGAGACTCTCCTAGAAACACTTTGCAAACCAAGAATATCTTTTTGATTCACAAAATATTCCAGCCTTTGAGATATTGCTTCAAGTTTGGAATTCATGCTCCTATAGAATTTATTAAAGGGTGAAGAAAGTAATGATCTCACCTGGGTAGTCAACTTTTTAGATTCTCCCCTCACCTTGCATCTCAAAGAGTCAGTGTTGATTTCATCCAATAAATCCTCAGCATCCAAGACAGCATCTTTCAATTCATCAAGCCATGCTTTCACTGCAAGATCATTGATCTGCTTCTCCTCAGCATCATTGAGCACAGCATTAAGTGCCAACAACTTTGTCTTCAACTCATCCAAAAGAGAAACATCCAGCTTCCTGTTGGCAAACAAATCTCTAAACTCACCAGAAGCTATTTTGTCTATTAAGATCTCTACAGAAGCAGAGATAAGTGCCTCTCCCACCATAGTTAAGACCATTGTATCAGAACTCAAGTTCTATCTAAAAACTGAATGTGATACAGAACTGTGGTGGTGAGAAATTGAGATATTATGATGCTTAAGTCTGGTCATCGTTTTAATATCTGGTAAGAGTTTCCTCATTTAAATAACTAAAAATTTACACTTAATGTGATATCTATATATTTATTTTTAGGTAACTGTTTAAACTGCTGATTAAGAAATTAAAAGTAATTTTTTTTTGTCAAAAATATCATTAATAAATTTCTTGTGTTTTTCAATAAAATCTAACAATTTTTAATAAATCTTTTTTAAATTTTTTTAATACTCTAAAAACGATCCTTATTTATATTATATATATATATAATAGAGAGAGAGACCAAAATCCAATAAAAAAAACAAAAAGGACAGCTAAAATTGTCTCCAAAAATGATGGATAAAACTTTTTCCTCTTTGAAAAGTGGACCTCTTTGTCTTGTTCACAGATATTGACTGACGGAAAGTATGGTCATTGTTGCATTAGTTGTCAAGTCCTTGAGCATTATCTCTTATTAAAGCATTTTATGAATTATAAACACAATATATAATGGGACTTTCCTTCCTAACATAGATTGTAAGCAGTGATTGCTCTTTCCTTGACACAGGTCATTTTACCACCCACTTGCAATTCAACTTTTTGAAAGCATGCATCTTCTCCGAAATTTCACCTGGGTTACCAAGTCTAATAAAACTTTTTTTTTTAAATTTCTTTCTACTACTTTCTCATTTTCAATAAATATAATATAATCGGCTTTTTTATTCAAATAGTAATTTTTTTTAAAACTAACTCTAAAAATAAGGTATTGGACAAATTATTTCTTTATCTGGTATTATTTTTCGCTATGTCAATATTACCTGTGCATAGACAATAAAAAAAATTTATTATTATTTTAATTGTGTAATTATCATCTTAAATTTCATGTATTTTGATATACAGGTTATAAATTATTGAAATATATATATATAAATAAATAAATAAATGCAGACTTAATATCTATTTTAGTAAAATTATTTCTAGTTTATTATGAGTTTTAAATTTAATTTTATTTATTTAATATTACATTGTCGACAAGTTTTACAAATAATTTTATTTACAAAAAGATTTCAATTTACTTATAATTAAAATTAAAATTTTAAGATGTTTTAATATATATATATATATATATATATATATGGGACAGAATCTTCTTACAATGGTGTAAGTATCAAAAATTTTACATTTGATCTGAACCTTTTATTTAACTTAAATCTAATGTATATATATATGAGATAGAGTCTTCTTACACTAGTACAAATTTAAAAAGTTTTATATTCAATTTGAATCTTTTTATTTAACTCACATCTAAAGGATTATAATTTATTACTCTAGTAATCATTAGATGTAAGTTAAATAAAAAGTTTAAATTGAATATAAAATTTTTTATACTTACATTAAAAGATACTTCATATATATATATATATATATATAAAATATTAAAATATTGATAAGTACTATATATTAACTAAATATATTTATGTTTATGTATGCATAATGAATATTTTATAATAATCTTGATCAAATCTTAGTTAAATAATAATTTTACAAAAGAAAAGTGTCTAAAAATAAATAAATGTTCTGATAAATTTTATAAAATATGAAAATTATTACTAATAATTAAATAGGAGTAGATACGCCTATGAAATTAATGCAAGCATATTGTATGTGTCTGTATCCAACTCGAATGTGTCTATTTTTCTCTTGTATGCATGCTTCAGAGTATGTCATTGGCAACCCCAATAAATTTAAAGAAATTGAAGCAAAAGGGTATTATTGTCTGCATATGCATTAAGCACCATGGGATTTCTCGACAAGTTCTGCAACATAGATTTGGGAGAACCTTTAACCTTGAGAAGATCAAGAACAACATTTTTGCCATCTTGGTATTTAAAATGCATCCTGTTGAAGAGTTTGATACCAAATGTTGGGGACACTCCCCATGAGATGATGAGGTAAGTCATTATAAAGGTGTCACATTTATGGTTTATATGAGAAGCTATGTTGCATGAATATTGAGTGAGTATTGGGTAAGACGTACATACGATAAAATTTTAAAGTATTTAAAATTTTAATTTTAACTTACTTAAACATTTATTTAATAATTGTTTAAAATGATAAGTTATATCTTAATTTAATTTTGAAACTTATTGAGATAAATTAAAAACTACTTATTTTGATAAGTTTTACTAAATTTATTAAAATAAAATGAAAACAACTTAGGAAGGTTATAAATTATTTTTTATATGTTGTCCTTAAGTTCTTTCAAACAGACTTTAAGTAAAATATACATATATTTATGTATATCATATTGAATATTTTTATGATAATTTTGGACAAATTGTAGTTAAATAATAACTCTCTAAAAATAAAAATCCCTAAAAATAAGATGTCTATGAAATATTAAAAATATCAAACTAATAGTTAAACAACACAATTATCATAAATATTAAAATCAGATAAAAAAAATATTTCCCTATATGTCTAAATAAGTTAAAATAAACTAATTGGGTTGTTTTTGGGTAATAACATTTTGGGGTCACCTCAAAACACTGCTCATAAGTCAAAATCAGCAAGCAAATGCAGTATGCGGCAAATACGAATGCAAGTGTGTCACGTGATGATTTTTGAAGTATCTGTGATGAGAAGTGAATGAGTTGAAGAGAAAAAGTGAAGCATAGTGTTTGAGTTGCAGCAGAGAAGCCAACTGGATTAGATTATCCTTGTGGTTGCAGTGTGTGAATAATGATGCAGTTCCAGTTAGTCTTCTAATGAGAAAAGTAAGCACCATTTTTGTAATGATGCAGTTGCAGCCCCACTTGTGTTTAAAGGACTTTTTTTTAACTGCATTAAATTTCAAGAACCTGCATGAAGCAGAGTTCATAAGCAGCAGTGTTTCAGCCTAAAAAGCTAGTCAATGTCACATATTTTGGACTCCAACCTCAAGATTTAGTTGGTATTTCTGGTTCAAAGCAATTAGTAAGTGACAATTCAAGGGAAAAATTGATGTCAAATTACACTAGAAATGTTTTCATATTCACTACTTATCCATTTCTGTATAGTGCAATCCTTATACACAAGTAGCTAAATTTTCCAGTGCAATTTGTTCCTTAAAATTCAGAAATAACCACAACCTACTTGGCTACCCATGATCCCTTTTATTACTTTTCATTCCCTACTACATCCTTATGGACCTAAACTAGGTAAAAATCAGTATGCATATATTGGATATTTAATTTTCTGGTCTCCATGAAGGGATATTTATAAGTTCATGAATTTGCATATATGAACCAAACAAAACATATAAGTCACTAAATATGTAACGTACAAACTTTGAATGGCTGTGCCTTTTCTGACAAAAAAACACTAGAAATTATTTCTTATCTTATAAATGAAATTCAAATTCTCCAGTACGCTATATGCTTTAAACACTTGTATCCTATGTAGAAATCAGGGTCAATTATAGTAAGGTATTGGTTCATCTTCCTCAACAAGTGTCCCCCTTCAATACCTTCTCCCTTTCAGCTTCTTGACAAGTTGGAGTCACTATTTCATTGCCTAAAATCACTCCTTGGTTTTGTATGTAGACCCATTTTTCTTGAAAAAGGTAGAAAAACACAATCAAAGATATCTGAATAGTGAAAAGTATATTCCAAATTCTTATGCGTTTTGATGTTTTTTCTTGGTAGGCACGTAAACCAATATATACATTCAGGACACCCAAGAATGACACAGCAGTTCCAAGTATCCAATGCGCAAAGAACCACACACTTCTTCTTTTTGATCCCCTGTGAAGAACAAGAAAATATGCTAATCATCATGTTCTATTAACAAAAAAAATAATACTATCTTTAAAGAAATGAATTGAAAAGAAAGGCATCATAAAGTGTTAGGAAAATGTACTTGACTACTTTCTATCTAAAAGGTATGAACATAGAACATGAAAAATCCAAAATATATAAATATATATGGGGGAGGAGGGGTTAATGATATCCATATTAATTTAATAAAATGATTCAATGGTCTAATGGGGTCAACATGGATAATTTTTTTTTTTAACCAATGAAATCATGTGAATACACATTTTATCAATAAAAGGGAATTCAATAGTTTTACCTTTGTGGTCGAAAAATGCCAACAAGGACTTGTAGCCAGATAATACCATATAGTGCCACCCCTAATCTTTGATGACTATTGTTGAAGAGGTTGTTGAAATTTTTTATGGACATGATTGCTCCTGCTGTGGCAAGAAGTACAGCAATCATCTGTTGAACAGAAATTCAAAAGTATTAATCACAATAAAAGGAAAAGTTAATCACTGAAAAAAATATTTTGAGTTGATTATTTTTGTTAATAATTGAATTATATGATACTTTTTGCTTCAAATTAACTTGAGCTAAGACTTGATTACTACCAGGCCAACAGTATAATTTTGTTGTTCTCTTCACATGCTGTACATAAAAAATTAGTTGGAGAAAGCTTGGAACCTCTAATAAACTAGAATATTATATAATAAGTTGCTTTTCTTGTCTTCAAAGTATTCATTATAGTCTTTGTCAACAAACAGGGAGGCAATCACCATTTCATGATCTTATTAGTATCTAATAAGCTTTAGGGTAAATAAAATAACTAGAAATCTGGAATCTTACTACTTTTATTTTCCTTTCACCATTATTAGATGTTAATCAGTGGGACAGCTGAACCTATTAAACTAATTTAAACTCAGTGACAGATCCAAAGGGGGCCAGGGCATCCCCTTTCCAAAACTTTAACAAAGGTATACATAAATTTGTCATTTTAAACTCCTTAAATAATAACCAAAATTATCTTGTTATATTCCCAGTATAAAACACTTAGTTTATTATATACCCACTATCATTTTACTCACAAAATTATAGAATGAATTTAATCATTCACTAATTGACAAAATGGTGCAATATAAGATTTGGATTATATATGAATTTATAGTTTTAAAAGTACAGATAAGTTTTGAACTCATTTTAAATCCTTCAAGTCATGTAGACATACAGAACTTAATGTACAGTTAAAGATCTATAATAAAAGAAACACACTTTCAGTTAACTGCTCAATATTTCAATATCACAATCTCAACTTCTATTTTTTTCAAATCTTCGTACTTCTATTGATTTAGTGTTAATTGCCATGACCATTTTAAAACTTTTTCAAATAAATTTTGAAATATGTGGATGAATTACTAAGATAAATTATTTAACAAAAAATATTCTCCTAATTTTTTACTATAATTGTCAATTCTACTAGAATTTCGCATTCATTTGAGAAAGGAGTAAAAAATAGATAGAACTATTTCAAAACTTTATTTATAATTCTGGCCCTGATAAATCTTATTTTCTAGACCCTTCCCTCCTTAAAACAATAAATGATTGTTCTTTTCCCTATAGATCATTGGTTGTAAACTAAAAAAAAAAACTGATAATATACACAATTCTTACATCTGATTAAGATTTTTGATGTAAATATGGACTTCAGATATACTTGCCTGCAAAATTGCATGAACATAGAATACAATTCTAAGCCTTTTAGGATTCTCCTCTCTGTTTGACAGTCTAATTGCAAGTATACCAACTGGCATCAAGAACCCCATTGAAGCCCACAGGAGAAAGCCATGTAATGTAATCTCAAACTGAAGTCTTGGATTCATCTTCACATATAAAACAATCACAAAACAGGTTAGCTTTACTGACAATACTCATATGTATGAAAGAAAGGACTTGACAGTGACATTTGACTAAGGTATGTATAGATTAATGTCAAATCTTCTCAAGCGTGAATCCATTCCAAGGTTGCAAGTTATAACTTTCACATTGAAGTGTGGTCTCTCGTTATTTTAATGATTCCAAACACAACGAAAAAATTAGAAATTAAAGCAAGAGGCATAATGAACAGTAAAGCCTCCAACTTGATTGAGTAAAAATTCAAGAGAGTATGAAACAGAAATGGGATACCTCAACGTGATTATCATCTTTGTTTCGTGAATGAGTGCTTGTAAGTTCCTTGTGCTCTTGGGAAGAACTCACAAGTGAAAACAAGATGAAAACAAGAGTTGCTTGAAAGAGTAAAGCAATGAGCTTTTGCTGAACTCTCATTCTTCCTTCTTTTGTTGAAAATATGAAAAGGGCTCAAACTCAATCTTCAATGCTAGTGAAGACTAAAAGCAGAAAAACCATAACATTCTAAGAACTGAATATCCTTCCTCATAGACTAAAGGTGCTTATCTTTTTTTTTCTTTTTTCTTTCTTTTTTTGAGTGAGTGAGGATTCTGAGGAATGAGCACTCTTATCTAAATAGTACAACTAAACAGTTGTCACCAATCCAAGGAAAAATGAGACCAATATGAGGTCAGAGAAAACTCATCAGAAAACTTAGGAATTAGGATAGAGGAAAAGTTTAACCTTCCTAAGCATATATTTCATTTCAGCTTAAAGTGCCATTTTCTTTAAGATTGTTGCATGGAAAATTGATTGTTAGTACTTAGTCCAGAAGATCCTATAAATAAATGCAAGTGGAGATTTAGCATAAAATGTGATTTCAAACTTGTGGGGTTCACTTTGACAGGCTTTTGAGTTTATGGAGGAGAATGTGGACTTGCAAAGCAAAAGCATGTGTCAGATTTCAACGTGAGAGGTTAAAATTTACATAACTACATACAGAAATATGAAGTGGGTCGTGGTAGATTTGCAGGGTTAACATTATCTTATGCTTCCCACTATTGAATACACATTATAACATGCTTGAAAAGACTTGTCCAACAACCAAATACTGAGCCAATATACAGAATTTGATTATTAAAAGCGGGTCAATAAAATCAGATTCTGAAAGGATTTTCAACTTTTTGTGAATTAAAACACCTCTGCTTTTATTCACACATAACGTTCTAAGTCAAATCAAATCATATTATTATTACTTTCACGCTGCTTTGTAGTAAATGTCTTTCTGCATAATCTTAAAAGAAAGTAATAACCCGGGTTTTTAGTGTTATTACTTCATTTTGTTAAGTAGTGTTCTTAAGTATTAAATACAAAATTTATTAAAACTAATGTTAAGGGTGTACTAATAATTATAAAAAAAAAAGATTGCCACACTTTATTAAACTTTAAAAAAAATCAATATTTTTAAGATATTAGTTAGTATTTATCTATTATTTATGACAATGTATATTCATAATTCATATTATATTAAAATTTTGAGCCAAACCTTCTAAACAACGTGAGCTAATTATATACATTATCTGGTTTTCTTTTTTTTGGTAACTTTCTAATTATATTATAATCAGAACTGAAAAACTATAACATCATCAGTATTCTTTTTTACGATATTAAACCTATGCGTGGATCTTCATGGCACTGGCAGGTGACATCAAAGATGTCATAGGATATGGAAATTATGTAGCAGACACCCATAACTCACCTTTGTATCATTGTGATTTGTGAGTTTAAAAAAGGATATAGGCTAGCAACTTAGTCTTAAGTATACTTTTTAAATTATTTTATTAGTTAAAATTTTCTTAAAATTATAAAAGTTATTAAATTAAAAGTGATATCACATGATTTTTAATAAATTTTAGTTAATAATAAAAAATATATTTAAAAACCATGTTAAACAATATATTATTAATATTTTTTTCAAATATATTTCCCAACTTGCATAAATAATAAATTATTTTATTGCCCACGCCAGTCTGTGATTCAGTGGGCTAGTGTGTGTTGTTCACTAATCATGTAGAGATTCTATGTGCTAAAAGACAAATCATTTGTCTACCACGTGAGTTTATTTTTTTAATATTATGTGCACTATCTCTAACTATCTTATACATATTTCTTTAAACATAAATTGTTGTTGTTATTACTCTAATTTAGTAGTACAATTACAGAAAACTGTAGCGATTTTCATAGAAAAAGAAAAGGATAATCATTCTCTCGTAGCGAATACAGAAGGTACTAACATACTTTTGTTCTTAATTTTGATATATTAAACTCATTTTTCATCTAGTTCTATACAAATTTAAATTTACTTTTTATCTGTACAATTAATTTTAATGCCTTCCCAGCATCCCATCTATTAAAACTTTGTGAAAATGACATGAAAGTACTGTGAAGAATATAGATCAAATATATATGGATAAAATATTAATATTCTAGCCACTGTAAACTTGTTTGAACGTTATAACTCAAATAAACAAAGGTAATAACAAGAGTGATTATTAAATTGAATATAATATATATAAAGATTAAATTTACTACACCACAGCTATTTTACACTCCAAGTTTGATATAGTTGCATCCATTAGAATTTAAAATCAAGACTATATGTGAAACTAGAACAATCCTATTTATTCATATGTTCAATAATTTTTAACTGTGATTTTTAAATGAACAAAATTATTTCTTTCTCAAGCATAAAAGAAAAAAAAATTAGAGCATGTTTGTTTCATTTCTTTCTCTTTCGGCTTTTGTTTTTCTTGTTCTTTTTGGGTGAATATAATTTATAGAGATTATTTCATGATAAATGATGACAAATGCTTTTAAGATATTAGTTAAAGAATTAAAAATATTATTAACATATTTTTTACTGTAATTTAAAATACTTATAATATTTTTTATTAATTATTAATGATTTTGTCAATTTTAATCTTTAGACTTATGTTTAAGCATGCAAAAATAATAAGTTTTAATTAAAAAGAATTTTTATTATATTTTGCATCTTTGATATCATAAATATTTTTTAATAAATATGTATTTTTTTTATACATTTAAGCTCAGTTTTGAAGATAAAAATTAATTTTTAATTATTATTATTAATATATATCTCTGATTATCACAATTCAGAACATTTGACATGCACTGTCTTCTTCTTTACTTTCCTGTGTGCGCTGAGAATAGAATAAGAAAAGGAAGAGTAGGGACAAGGCATAACGATATAAGGTATATAGGTAGAGTGGACCAATAGAGAATGACCAATGCATGATTTGATGCTACTTTCTTTAAGAGTGAATCCAAGAGTGCCTTGAGAAAGCAATGTGATCCTTTATGAAATCCCTCACCATATTATAAATTGAAAGATATACATGAGGATATTCATTTGCTAATTGTACTTATAGAGTGATTGAGAAGTTTACAGATCTGTTTTGCATGTGATTCACCATTAATTGCTTATTATTATAGTTCATTACTATTTTGAACACAACCCTTTTCAATTATTGGATATCCTCACTGTAGCAAATGTTTATTTGCCTTATTAGCTAGGTTATGGTAATGTTTTAATATTTAATAATAAATGGAATGAAATGGATGAGAATAAAGTAACTAAAGTTTCATAAAATGGAACAAACTTTATTATTTAAATATTTTAATGAAGAATTGAGAAAAAAAAATAGTTTTATCTTGTATTTTTAGTTTATTATTGATATGAGAACCTTGTTAGTAGATGATTAGTAAGTACTTTTGTAAGGGCTTTTTTGGCCTTAAGGGCATGTCTTGATCTGCTAAGTTTTCGAGCTCAACTCACTTAAAAATATTTTGTGACAAAAAACAATTAAAGAAAAATTAAATAGAATTAAAAATATCTCCAATCGATCTTATTGTAAATGATTTAGATAGTAAAAATTTAGAAAATATTAATGCTAGCTTTTGTTGTTAATTTTAAACATTTTTAAATCAATTTTCCCAATAAAAGTAATAATATTTTTGGATACTTAAAATCACTCTTACATGCATGCTTATATTAAAATTGTAAAATGTAAAACTATCTCACTTCATATCTTTTCTATTGATCTAAAAATCCTCACATCTCGGTTGAAGTTATCCAATTAAGTTTTGGTTTTCATTGGAAAGGGAGATAACAAGTTTTTCTTAATTAGAAAATGAATTAAACAAGCTAATAAAGAACTAATTCTGATTAAGATAATGATTGTTGTACAATGTGATTTGAAGTGAGTTGAGGAATGAGTAGTGTTCATGTATTATTGTTGCCCTTCAAATTATGGACATTTCTGATTGCAAAGTTAAGCTAATTAATTTGTAGTGTTCTTTAATAGTTTGCCTTTATATATATATATATATATATATAAGCAAAGAATTATTTCACAACCACGGTTGGATCACCATAAAACCTAATGGGTCCATGACATCAAGGTTCAACACATGAGCCATCATATTTATTTTCTATGAGCATATGAGGTTGTTGAGATGTCACAAAACAACATTGCCCACAAACAATCATTCCCTTGAAATAAATGTATGTCATCAAAATTTTCTTATAGAGATTAGTAAGATGGCAGTGTCAACAGTCAAAAATAATGATATCTTATATATATTGGTTTTACAATGTTTGGTAATTTAATTATAAATCCAAAAGAGGGTCAAGTACCCAAAATTATTAGCTTTTTCAATAAATTGCCTTCCTTATGTCAAGGGGTATCTTTAGAAAAGTTTAAATTGATTGGAACCTTGCAACAACTTTCTTTCAAAAACTTGATTAGGGTTGCTTTATATCTTATCATTTTCTAGTCTTTACATGTCCAGGGTTGAAAATTAGCTCATCGGAATCGAGAAAGGGTTTTTTTTTTCAATGAAACTTCCCTGCATTTGAAGTCACAGCACTAATAATTTGTAGCAAGAAAATTGTTACTGAGAAACTTCTCACTTTGCCAAAAATATTGTTTTTTTTTTTTTAAGTATTATTATTATTATTATTATTATTAAAGTTGACATAACGAATTATCTGACTCGTATCAAGTTAGTCCAATTCAAACTTCAAATTAGTATTCTCATCTCTTAATTTTTAGTTTTGTTTCGGTCTATTACTTTAACTTTTTTTTTTCTCTTACCTTGTAAAAGAATTTTAAAAATTCAATGTTCATCTTTGTTTTTTTTTAAGTAAAATATAATGTATTTTAACAAATTTTTTGGTTATCTTTTTTCATTTTTACTTCTTTCTCCTCTTACCTCTCATCAATGCATCCAAGACTTGTTTTCCTCAGCCCTCTCCTCCCTACAAATTCGGGGAAAAAAATTCTTCAAAACTTACTAAGAAAAAAAAAAGAAAAATTTTAAAGTTCAAATAGGTTGAAGAATAATATGTGGAAGCATGAACAAGAATAAGAAGAGTTCGAAAATAAAAGTATGGATGATAGATAAGAAAAAGAGAAAAAAGAAAAAGAAAATAAAAATGAAATAACTACAAAATTTGTCAAAATGCATTGTGTTTTCATCAGCAAGATAGAATAAGATGGATAAAATTTTCTAAAGAGTTTA